CTCAGTTCTTTCTATAAACAACCAGAAAGCACAGGGTCCTCTGCCGAGCTCATTTACACAACCTAGGAAGGACGTGGTCAGGTCAGCGCCCTGAAACGACATCCTGCAAAATCCTGCTCAAAAGTCCCAGCCAAAATTTCTGCTCAAGTAAAAATGATGGTCATTTTCTGTTAACTTGCCTTCAGTATTTTGAACACCAGCACGTTGTTCTCCCAAAATTATCTGGACATCAAGTAATTCTGAAAGCTGAGGCAGTTAATCCAAGATCAGTGGAATCACACCCAACAACCATCAGAGAACAGATGAGGCATTCAGGATGTCATTGCAACTGTGCAGTTTTAACCCAGCTCGGTTAAACACACTTCTGCAAAATAGGAAGGAAGATGCAGACACACTGGTTTTTAACAGCCGAGACATTACTAAGAGTTACTGGGGCTAGCGCAGCAATCCTGCAGCACAGTCAGCACAAAAGACACAGAAGAGCATCTTGTGAGCACAATAGAGTTGCTGGGATTAGAATTAGCCACAGGGATCTAGACTGAGGAGCAAAAATAAATTTAAAAATCCTTTAGTCAGATGATAAGATTATCGCGTCCTTCTGCTTTCTAATAATAGTCTGTTAACTTGCCTTCAGGAATGTGCTGGAACAGCCAGGTCTCAGCTACCCTGCTAACTTCAGATGATAAACCAGGGCTCCAGAACAGTGAATGACTTGTTCGGTACTTCTTGATGCTTAGAGCATTCAGGGCTCTGGACCCGGAACTGGAAGGTTGAGGGTTTAAATCCTAGGTGAGATACTGCTGGTGCACCCTGGATCAAGGAACTTCACTCAGGCTGCTCCAGTAAAATTCTCCTCTACATATAAGGCTACAAATATAAGTTGCTTTGGATAAAAGTGTCAGCAAGGTAAGAGGAGCAACAACAGATTTTCCAGGAAGGGCTGGAGGTGCCCAAAAGAAATACAGAAAATCCTCCACATTCAGGCTGATATTCCAGTATTCAGGCTGCTGGAAGTCAGTCCCGCTGTCCGGCTGGACACAGGGTTTTGCACACATCGTCTCCTCCAGAGAAGAGTGTGAAACCATGCTCTGCTTGGGCATGCTTTCTTAACATGCGAAGATTGTGCTGCAAGGCACTGACTGATGCACAGTTCTGGAATGTCTTCTTATCGTGTACGCTGGTCAAAATGTTAGAAATATTAGGAAACTTCACCGAGCAACGCATGTGAGCTTCTGAAAGCAGCCTCAGCAGGATGTGGTTTAGGATCTTGTTGTGATCAAATATTTGCAGCCCATCCCCTCCAACAGGGAGGACGAACGCTTGCAGCTGAGGTGATGATGTGAGTAACAGGGGTGTGGGAGTCAACAGGTTCCACCAGTTGTCAATAGATTTGAGACCTGGGGACTATTCTGGTCAGGGAAGATAATAACACTCTGCCCTGTGACCCTCAAACCAACCACACACTGCTTGCTGCTGAAAGCAGCTATTTGACTGGGTGTTCCTATTATTTTGGCCAGAGGGTGCTTTTATGCTGTAACTGCTGTGGTTATCATCCCCTTCACAAGGGGGCAGCACCACATGACATGTACAGCATGGGCCCACCCTGTGTCAACTGGAGTCGAGAGAAAATGTTTGCGTCAACAGCACTGGTCTACTTGTACCATTTGTTTTGAGGCTGCACTAATATCTGTGACCGGAGGACAGCAGAGCAGGCGTCAGGCTTGAGCGACAGGAAGATCGGGTCATAGCCCTGGCATGCAAAATGCCAAGTTCCTGTCTGGTGTAAGCAGCCCAGCCCACAGCCGAAATGACTGGCTTCTTCAAAAAGCCCTGTGCCAGCTTCAGTGTTGTTGGCACTGCACTGTGAGAGAGAGTCCGCTCTCCTGCCCCGAAGCAGGCCGAACGACATCGTCAGCAGCCAATCAGCCTGCAGAGCTTGGCCACATTCCCCGCCCAGCGTCAGTGCCTGCTTGCTGGCCATCGCTGTGGGCAACGCTCACACAAAGACGTCTCCTTTTTCAGGTGAATCGCTTTTCAGAACCAGTTCATCACAGCTTTTACACAACCTGGGATGACCCATTCAAACTGGAAAGCTCTTCGAACACAAAGCACATAACCATCTGATATACTGAGTGAGAAAGAAACTTCCAATTTACAACGCCACCAAATTCACAAAGTAACTATCGGGAAAACGACCTTTGTTTTTGTAGCAGGTGCACTGACACCTTATTGTACAGATACAACCCAGGTAGATGCGTTATGCTGATTAACAATTGTCATCAACAAGGAACAAGGAGTCAGCTGGGAAAGTCACAGGCTGGTACAGGAGTCGCCTCTGCTGGAGATAATTTAGGCTGTACCCCTGGGGCTCCTGGTGTACCCTTCAGATTCACCCAGTCCTCCTGCAGAGCCGGGACAAGCATGAGCCCGTTCTCTGGGCTCTGAGCCCCGGCTGCCACACGTCCCAGCTCCTCCCACGCGTGTTCAGTGCAGCTGCAGTCTGGGGGCTGGGACAGCCGCAGCACAGCGGCCCGGATCTGTTCCTGGGCAGCAGGAGGACTGGAATGGGCTCCCATCAGGAGGAGCTCCCGGGACTTGAACAGTGTAGCGCCTTGCAGTCAGGATACCCTCGGTCACTGCTGGGGGGGGTCCTGTAGAGACGGGACACTTCTGCCCAGACTGTGACGCTTGGACTCCCCACAGACTGGTCTGCTGTACAGTTAGTGCATCACTCTGATCTGTACGAAACCACAAGACATCGCTGAGGAGGAGCTGGAAGGTCACCTGTGTCCAGTGAGCCGATACAGAGACAGTCCGTCAGTCGGACTTCAACAACCAACCAGAACTAAAACATTTAATCAAATCTAAAACATACTAAATGTATGAAACTAGAACATTTATATTTAGCAAGGACGATTTTCTTTCAGACAAGGGTAACGTTTCGACGAAATCATATTGAAACTGCTGTATCATAACTCCAACTAAACTGAAGAGACTGGCCGGTATCCGGGCTACAGTATAATAAATGTCAAATCCTACATCTCAGTGCAAAGAGACGAACACGTGAATATAATATTTGGTTCTTCATTGGCCGGCAAAGTAGATAAGGATTCCTATATCAGGGTTTCTCTCAAGCAAACTAATTTTAATATCTTGTACTCGGAAACAAAAGGTGAAACAAAGAGTTGAAAACTACAGCTGACCGGCTCACTGGGGGACGGTATAATAATGGATTCCTAAGGTAATACCAGATCAAAGCAAAGCCGGACCCCCCCATTGTAACAGTACACACACAGCATGACGTCACCGTGACGCAACAAAACTGTACTGGTTGGGTTATGGACAGTGGAACCCCTTGTTCTACAATTACGTCTTTATATTTCAATTTGATATTAAAACTGCTGTTAATGGCTGTCGTTTCATTAACACGTATCTTCTGCGTTCAGGTGTTTCTGCGGGAATTAAAGTTTTGAAGAAAACATCGGAGCAATTTCTAGCTTCAGCGGCAGTTCAGCAGCATACGTGGCATAGAGCAGACAAGTCAAATATTCTACCAGACCCATGTGCAATTAGATATAACGAGCAGATTTCGGTGGTAAAAACCCCTCAGCTCAGGGACAAAGCTTTGCGGTTTTGTTTTGAGACGGTTTTCATGACTCGGGAGTTACTCCAGTTCCACACTTTCCGGAGATTATTATAAACTGGAGTTCTCAGTAACTTGTTTTTTTTTTGTATTTAAAAAATAAATCGCGATCAAAAGGGCTTGCGAGGGTTATGAAACAGCCTATGCTCTCCAGACGTCTCTGAGGAAACTCTTTCTGTAAGGAACACGTCAGAATTTGAACACAAACGAGGAAAGTTTTAATTGAAAAAGGACCAGCTCTCGTCCCCGCTATACCACTCACAATATATCATAACGAGATTTTGTTTTGTCTGTTCAGAAAGACATATACTCATCCCAGGGAACAAAAAACACACCTTTGGCCGACAGGAGAACAGACAGTGCCAAAACAATTGCGGCTTTTTTTTTTTGCGTTTGCAGGAAACGGTTAGATCCTTGAAGCCGATAGAAGCGCACCAGCCTGATAAGAGAGTCAGCCTTTCAGCTGCGGGAAAGCGAGACTCCTTACCGCACGTTTCTCCCCGGCGGTCCGCGCAGCCAGGCTGGGAGACGGCGCAGGCTGAATCAGAACAACGCAAAGTGCACCTCCGGAGTAGCGCGTCTGGGCTGCGGCGGTGTCGCATGCGATTCTCTGGGCTGCGCGTACCGAGAGCGGTCCCGCCGTACGTCCCTATCCCACTCGAGTGCGGCTTCCTCCTCCCGGATCCTCGCCTGGAGTGGAGACTCAGAGGAGCCTGACGATGCCCGTTCTCAGCGCCATCGCGGCCTGTCGCGGCGCATGCGCACGATTCACCCCCCCCTCCTCTCTCCTCTCCCACCACCACCTCTCCTCCTGCTGGTCTGGGAGCTCCGCGCGAGGAAAGGGGGGAATCCACGGGCTCTCCGCTCCACGCCGCGGTGAACACCCGGCACACGGGCCTGCAGCGCACCACTGATGCGCGCTGTAACTGCGAAGAGTGATCGGCTACAACGATCATCGGAATATATCGACCTTTTTTTAAAAATAATAATTATTGTTACCACTATATTATTAGTCTAACTGGCATCAACTTTGCTGTCATTAAATAAATTACTATTTTTATCAGTTGTAGTCAGGTTAATGGTATAGTTGCGCTTGTATTGCTGTTGCAATAAATGCAAAAACGGTATTATTTTGAGGTCATTAAGGTTGCCTTCGAATTGCACTGTAGGAGCGGCAAGTCTGCTGGCAGCACCAACACCGTGACACAGCAGATGTCTCTCCATGAAGCAATTATTATTAAAGTCGTGATTAGTGGTTAAGTATAGGGGGTCACACACACACGGTGAAACATCGAGTGTCTGGACGCTGTGCGTCAGTGAAAGGTTCCTCAGCAGTCGGGGCCAAATCCAGAGTCCCAAACCAAACCAAAAACTGTCCCTAACTCGCCGAAGTAGCCCCTTAATGTAATGTGACAGCGGGGCTGTTGCTTTAAGGAAAGCAAGCAGAAGTGTAGAGCCGCGGTTAGCGCTCGGGTTCATAACTACAGGGCTGTGGGTTCAAAATCCGGGTGGAGCCCTACCGTTGCTTCATTGAGCGCGCCGTCGCAATCGTAAAATAAACAGTTGTGCAAAGGCGCATCGCTTTGGGTGGGCAAAAGCGTCAGACCGACAAGTTCGTAACGCGTATGACGGGAATGCGGGAAATTGCATACATATGGAACGAGAAGACTGCAAGCAAATTCCCAGACACCGGCAGAAGCGATGCTTAAAGAGAGTCTTCATGCGCGCAGTCTTACTGCCCTCTAGTGGCGGCGGGAGGTATTTTCGTGTTGGGTGTGTGACGTCTGCACAGCTGTACTGTAATGAAAAGTAATAGTGGGGGGAGGAAACGGTTAACTTTGTGCTTTATTAAAAACTCGACTGACGTCACAGGAAGCGATCATACGCGCTTGGCACGAGACTTTACGAGCCCATCTCGGAGCTCAGTGACGTGTTTTCGTTGGGTAAACGCCAGTCATCGGCAATAATTAAAAACGCGAATCCTACGTACTAGTTGAGTGGAGACTAGGACACTCTTACATTGCACTTGTTGGGACCCACTGACATATTTTTAAAGGAAAGCGGTGAGGCTACACTGTGCTCACGCTAAAAGTGTGACACCTCGACGTCATCTCTCCTTTTCAGAATTGCTTTGCCCCTTTTATCGTTGTTCTTCTGGCGTTGTTCGTGTTTCAGAACTGTGTTATAGCATTGTTTCAGACCTAATACAAACTCTTTTTGTTATTTCCTTCAGTAACATCCACAGTGCCGGTTTTTAGGATTTGCGACTGAAGTCCCGGAGAAATTTTATGACGCAGTCTGACGTGGAAGGCACGTGTCACGTTGACGTAACTACTACGTCCTCGGTTTTAACAGATTGTCGCAATGTAATAACATCGCAAATCACTGCGCGGGATTTCCCACAAATCCTCCGACCACATTTTCCGCCCTGAATCGTTTGTCTAACAGGCTGAGTCAATTGTTTCAGGCCACGTCAAATCCAACTTGCCCGACGACGCGTTGTTTGTTGTTTTAAGAGCACATTCATTAAAAGTTTCAAAAGGAGAAGAAGCTATCTCCCATCTTCAGGCTCACCCAGCGCGTCAGGTAGTTAACAGTGAATTAGTCCACGGATCTCATCCATTCTTGAAAGACGCCGAAGGATCGGATTCAACTACACGGCAGGGTAGCTTGTTCCATACACCCACAACCCTTTGTGTAAAAATAACGCCTCCGGTCCTGAATGAAGCTCTTTCTAAAAAAAAAGCCAGGTTATCGCCTTCAGCAACGCTGCTGGGTGGTCTGTTCCGTGCTCCCTCACACCTTCGGTGAAGTAGTGTTTCCTGTTCTTGGTTTTAAATGCACTTTCAGTTAGTTTTCACTTGCGTCCTCTGCCTCGTTGTCCACTCTTCCTTCTAGAGCAGTACGCTGGCTGGACTTCCGCAGTATTGTGAATACTCGTGTCTGTTCTCTTCGTAGTCTACTCTGTGGAAGTGTAAACAAGCGGAGTTCCTTCAGCCTGACTTTCCCTGAAGCCCCAGAATGAACCCGGTGACTCTTCCCTGGTCTTACTCGAGAGCAGCAATATCTCCTCTTTAACACGGTGGCCATAATTGTACACGATATTCTAATGAGGCCTTACCTTATGATATTCTTATGAGGCTCAGCGTTTCCCATTTTTGTATTTTATGTTTCACTTCTTCTGTGCAAAAGCCCTGCACACTTGTCCACGTTGAACATCCTCCACTAAGTCTTCTTCCACTTTCTCTTGAATTCCTCTAAGATCCTTCAAATGGGTCTCACTTAAATTCAGAATTACTCGTCCACTGTCAAATATGCTGTCGAGCCTTTTATCTGCGAGATCTTTCAAGATGAAACCCGCGTTGCGGCTTAAACTCCACAGTAGATGCGGCGGCACCGATGTTCCTGCCCTGGCCAAGTCGGGGATGCAGTACTGCAGGGCGCCACTAGATGGCACCAAACGACAATTAAACTAAAAGGGTTGTGCATGGACGAGATGAACATTAAAAAATGCTTTGGATGAGAAGGTACGAAGATAGGTGCAATGACGGCAGGGCTCTGGTGCAACAGAATCACCGAAGAGCGACTACCACAAGGCACGTTTAAAACCCAGACCCATAAAAATTAATCATCATAAAGGTCAAGAAAAACAGTACACTGAAGTTAAAAAATGTACTCCGGGATTGATACATCACTCGGTTGAAGTGTATCAGTTAACTCAAGATATTATATTATTTACTAAGGAATTATTTACTTTCAGCAATGGGTTTATAAACCATGCGCGGCAATCTAGGCTTATTGTTTATGGTTTAACACCAGATGTTAAACTTCTCTTTAAATATTTGTGTTAACTACTTACAAATGTTAACATCCTGTAGACTGATACTGTGCTGATACCTCCCCTGTGAGAAATAGGGCAAAACTGAGAGAACTATGCGATGAGAGGGAGAAACTATGAGTATACGTGTCTTTAGATATCAGAGATATAGCCATTTAAGGAAATCTGAGATTTGCCTTCCCTAAACTCCTTCGAATCTAGACTCAAAAACATCATCTTGTTTTGAAGAGCCTTAACTTAACTGGTTCTGTTCTTTACCCCTCAACTCCTGCTGTATTCAGTACCTCCATCTACTGCCTCCTCTGTATTCTCATCGTGCATTTTATTGATGTTGTTGTCATTCTGTAGAGCGCTTTGAGAAGCCACCTTTAAAGGTGCTATATAAAATAGCTTATTATTTAAAAAGTTGATGATTATTATCGTGTGCAGTACTGCTGTGCGGCCAGTGTGGAGTCCACTCTGCTCAGATCCCGGCCCTCAGTCCTGGGAGGGAGAGGTATAAGGAAAGAAGCAACTGCCGTTGTAAGTGGTGTAGGTGGACCAGTAGGTGTCACTCTTCCGTGTGGACCCTCCCTCCACCAACCAGAGGAGGAAAACAGTTTTGGACCTCACATCGGTTCCTCTCCTCTTCACACTGTCGTGGCATCCTTGGCTGCTCGTGTTGGGCTGCACTCTTTCGATGCTTTGCTGACATTCCTGCATTACTAAATATGTGGGTTTGAGTTCACAGTAGGTGGAACAAGACTTAAACCTCAGTCGTGTCATAGGAGAAACAGCTCGTTGCTTCCCCGAGCAACGTGTCTGCTGTATTACTCTTGAGTACTGTGGATATGGTTTTGTAGCCATATAAGGGATTGTATGTTGTGATGATTCAGTGTAAATATTAAACTAGTAAAAATTTTCAGACTTTGCAGCTAATTAGCCTGGAACGAGGGAGCTATGGCAATGGCTGTTTTCTTGTGAGGGCCTTAAGAGTTATCAGTGGTTTCAGTCACTCAGAAGTGGTCAACCTGCAAGGCCCAGAGCTCTGTCACAGCCAGCCGGCATATGGTGTGAAACTGCAGTTTCCTGCCCCAGTGTCACCTCCGAGGGGACTCATCCACACGCTCAGTGACACACTCGTGCTTGTCGCCCTCACTGAGGGCACGAGTGCCCTGCCTGTTACCCGTGTGCTCACTTGTACCGATTGTCACCAGGCCTCCAGCACACACTGGTTTTCTCTCCAGCTCGGGTCTCCGCGGATTAACGGAACCTCTAACCAAGCAGCTTAATTGATTAATTGGAACCTCCGATCCCCGTTCTCTTGAGCCTTTTTTGAAAATAATAAGCGTAAATGAATTGTACCACTAGCTGGGGAAAAAAAAAGAGATGGCTTTGGAACTGGCACTTGTGACACAGACCAGCAGGTGTGGGGGTGCCCCAGGTCGTGTAATAAGGAACCCCTGGTTTAGGCTGAGGATGGTGTGGGAATGTGTGCGTGGAAGGGGGGCTGGCGGAAAGATAGGGGCTCTCGTCCTACTCAGGCCGTCCTGAATACACGTGCACCCCAGGCCCCTCAGCAGATGGATAATAATCCTGTCTAGCAGTGTTTTATAAACCTGCAGCCCCAAGAGCAGCTAGGAGTGACCTGGGCAGTTGGAAAAAGGAGGACTGATCTTCAGGAAAGGGTAGATCTGTGGCTGTTTAATCACAAGGCATACACTACCAGATGTAACAACAGGCCCCTGTTCTGCGATTGGCCTCAGTGGGTTTGAGAAATAATCCAGACAAGCAAATTTTTTAATTCCTTGTAATTCTGGAACTGTTCATCGGGCAAAGCAATGTTTCATATTATGACCGAGAAGCTAATTTCTCGTCTGTATCCCTGCAGAATTTAATAACCAGACCTTTCTATTACAAGTGCTTTAGACTCATGGAAAAAAATTGTCCAGTTAGCTAAATAATTAATCAGACTGCGAAAAAAAAAAATGATGAACATCCAGGTCCTGAAGAATACGGCACACTCTTCCCTGTCCATTTGCTCATGCTTCTGTAGCAGTTAAAAATCAATATAATTATACTAAATACACAAGAGCACATGCTTGTTTTGAGTAGATCATATACTTTATATAAACATATGTGCACAACTGCAATTAAAAGTTCTTTCGATTAAACATTTTGGCAGCAAAGGAATATACCTTTTGTTACATATTTTGCGATACAACGTCACATTCCACCCTAATGCACAACTAAAACACAACTATACACAGCTTTCAGGGGTTGAGACATTGCCCAATATAAGTTGCTCAAGTGTTAGCAGCGTTCTAGATTAGCCACATTGATATGTGCAGCTGAGGAAATACCAGAGGAACCTCCCCCATCTTCCCTGACAAGGCCAGGTACATGAAGGGAGAGGCACAGTGGGCTCACGGCCCTCTGTCCTTCTCTGAAAAAGCAGGGGAGGGACAGCTCAGCACAAGAGGCTTGTTTCCACACACAGAGCAAACCAGATGTAAACACAGAAAGGACAGATAGATGCTCCAAAAGGGAACACATCTGCCTGCACATTCACAGTGCAACACATACAGTACAGAGTTCTCCCTGAAACTCCATAAACCTCGTCAAACAAAACATAACACCTTACTGCTTCCAAAACAATAACATCGTTGTGATGCTGTAAAATTCGCCACCACAATCTTGCTGGATCCTCAGACCGCTGACAGTTACCAGCTGTTCCTCCTCCCACCAATTCAGACAAGAGCAAACAGGGCAGAAAACATCCGAGAAATCTCTTAATGCTCATTACATCTGGCAGAACCAGAGGGAGAGAAACGCAGGGTGTACAGAATGTGTTTAAAATATTTCTCCAGGAACTACTGTGTATACATTCAGTTTTGTTTTATTTTACCACTGTATGCAATAAAAACACAATAGCACAATAGCAGGTGTCTTATAATTATTCCCAGTGTCTGCATACTAAATTGTCCATGCATTTCTGTTAAGGACGGTTCAGAAGAGACTTGTGGAGAGTGTAGGACTTAATCAGTGTGCACACACTTGGTATACTTGAAGTCAGAAAAGACCTGTATTAATAGTCCAGTATTTGTAGATCAAGTGCAAAATATAAAAATTGTGTAACATTTTAAATGAATTCAACAATTTTGTACAATTTTCTTCTACAGTATACAAGCACAGTGAAAAGATCCAGATATATTTTATCCTTTTATACAAATTTCATGCTACTTCTTAAAAATTACATTCTTTAAAACACATTACAAATGCGTTTTCAAAATACAAGAGTTTGAATGCCTGACTGGTCAAAGAAATGAGCTTTTACAGAATGTTTTTTTTTTTTCTGAATCAGGGCAGTTATGTTCACAGTTTTGTTATATATTAAAACGTGCAACACGTGGGGCTTGTGAACCAACTGGGATCCTTCACGACACTTTAAATTCGAAGTGCGTTTTCACAGTTTCCTCCCCTTGTTTTGTCTAAGAGTGTCAAACGTTTTGTCTATGAGCAGCTTTTCTTGGTTTTCAGCCTGGCTTTGTCATAATTGCTCTGGCTCTAAGAGGAGTTCCTACTCAGTTTTTAGGGTGTCTGCTGTAATCCAGGGCCGGATTTTGGTGTTCGTTGGCCCTAGGCACTTTCACTCTGAAACGTGCATTAAGAGGGGAAAACACCAATTGAATTACATCGATTGACACAAATCACTTTAAACTATTCTAATGCTAAACCACGTGATGGATGGAGAGAGTCGGGCCCCCATCACTTCGATCCTCCTAGTTTCTGGAACAGCTGCTTGATAGTGTATGATTATTGATTTGGAGCAACTGGAGTCGATCGCAAGTGTGTTGTTTCAGCTTGTTTTTCATGAGTCACTACTGTTTCCCTCCTTCGTGGGCCCTAAACATTTCGTAGGCCCTGCCTAATGGGAAATCCAGCACTGCTGTAATCAAGGGAGGTCAGGAGGTGGCTGAAATGAGACCCTGCTCTCTAGCTGGGGTTGGGAGATGAGGCTCCCAGGATTCATAAGTCCTACCTGTGAACAGGTATAAACCCTGTAAAACGTCACCGGCTCTCTTTCCCAAAATAATTTCCAACTTAAGGGGGGGAAGGGGCCAGTAACCCCTTGGAACAAAAACCCAATTGCTCAGAAGTACCAGTACTAAGGTAAACAACAATAACACACTTTATGTCTTTAAGTACCATTTCCAAAAATATTACAAAACACTGTACAATATAAACTAGAAAACATCATGACTTACATAAAACACATTGAAATATAACAGACAATAAAAAACTTTACACACAATTACAAAATCTGTGGGAATGTCAGTTTAAACAAGTATGCCTCGATGGGAGATCTGACGCCAGACACAGACAGTTTTGGATTTCGGAGGGAAGAGAATCCCAGAACTGGAGGAGGCTCTGAGCAGTTTGCCAATCTATCTTGGTTTTTTATTTGATATGGTCATGATGTTCTTTTTCTACAGACTCCAAGATGAAAAGATGGTTGTTTTTTTTTCTGTGAAATTAAAAAACAACTTTGGGAACCAAACCATCAAGAAAAAAATTCCATAGTATCAGAACACACAGATTCAGAGTGTGGTTTGGGCTGTTTTTAGGGTTTACTTACATTAATACTGTTCACATGTGCAACATTTGAAGAGCGGATATGCATACTGTGTAGGCCAGAATCAGTGACTATCTGCATGTTCTCATAGGGAAAAAGAAAAAAAATCTGAATTGTCTTGCATCAAGTACATCAAGAAGTGCTTTGTATTTACACAAGCCAAGCAAGTAAAGCAATGAGCATGTTTCAATAAACCCGGTTTAGAGAAGAAGAAAAAAAAAAGCGTTAAAAACCACAACTGTTTTAAGTTTAAGTTCTCTGTCATTAGAATATATATATATATTAAAAGAAACTTTAGAGGAAATAAACTACAGGCAAGCCGGCCTACAGTACATCTGGTAGTCAATTATGTCCTTTCAGACCTTTAAAATCTGAACCAAATTTACAGGAAAACATACACATTCAAGTGTAAAGGAATATTTTAAAGGAAATTGTTGAATAACCTGGCATCTGTGGTTAAAGCAAAACTTCATTAACAGACCATGGCACGGCCAGGTGGTTCGTAACACAAGGCCTGAAAAGACTGCACTAGCTGGCATTATTCAAGCGTGGCTTGACTGTTCGTTCACCCCAACGTCCTAACTGTAAGTGTAGCCTTAAGCCCTGCAAAAGAAAAATACTTAATTACCACTGGATATTCAATTACCTTCTTTGCAGACAATTCTATTATTCCCAAAACGCATCCTGCATGCTTCCCCAACTCTTCCCTGCACGCCTGTTATATTTCTCATTCCCTGGCCTCAACTTACACTTAACCCTGAGCTAGTCTTTGCACTACAAGCCTCTCTGACAGTAACTCTCTGTACGCAGCATTGTTCCTCTTTAAACCTCCCGCATGTTTAATATACCCCCTTCCAGTCCACGAGGAGCTGCAGGTTACACCAAACGTCAGGCCACGTGCCCTTCTGCACTGGCGAACAGAAGATCTCTACGGACCAGACCCAGCCCTCTCCTCTTAAACAGCCACCCGAGAGAAAGCAACCTCCACATATCTCCACTTCCCAATTTTCCTCTCGGAGGATCCCGGACAGAGAGGGGCCCCCCTCTGCACGCCAGGCGGGCTCCTAGTCGTCGCTGGGGCCTTGCAGCGCCTCGTCCTCGTCCTGCTGGCTCTTGCTGACGTCCAGCTTCTGCCGGCGCACGTTGGGCCCCACGCTCATGGACGCCTTGCGGAAGGTGGAGAGGCGCCGGCGGAAGTTCTCTCCGGAGAAGAAGTAGAGCATGGGGTCGAAGCAGGAGTTGGCGGCGGCCAGGCACAGCGTGATGACCACGGACTTCTGCATGTAGACCACGTCGTCACAGGTGCGGTCCGGCTTGCTCATGAAGTCGAGGTGCACGGTGCGCTGGATGTGGTAGGGCATGAAGCTGATCAGGAAGGCCAGCATGACGATGACGATCATGCGGATGGCCTTGGTGCGCGTGCTCTTCTGCTTCTTCATGCTGCTGGAGCCCGTCAGCAGCGTCCGGATGATGCCGATGTAGCAGATCAGGATGACCAGGAAGGGGACCGCGAACCCTACCACCAGGGAAAAGTAGTTGAGGATGATGAGCTTCGAAATGCTCTTCCGCTTCTCCGGCGGCTCGAAGCACTTGGTCTTGTTGGTGAGGGGGTCGATGTGGATCCCTGTGATCAGGAAGGGCGAGCTGGTGGCGCAGATGAAGACCCAGATGCACACGCACACGATCTTCGCCTTGCGCTCGTTGACCAGCTTGAGGTTCTGCACGGGGAAGACGATGGCAATGAAGCGCGTGCAGCTCATGGCCATCATGAAGAAGATGCTGCAGTAGAGGTTGACGTACAGGGCGTAGGAGCTGATGCGGCACAGGAAGTCCCCGTAGTTCCACTGGCCCTTGTTGACGTAGTAGATGACGCGCAGGGGCAAGGTGCTGACGCACAGCAGGTCTGACACCGCCAGGTTCAGCATGTAGATGTGGAAGGCCGACCTCTGGCGGAAGGTCCTGATGAGCACGAAGAGGGCAAAGCCATTCCCCACGAAGCCGAAGACGGTGATGATGGAATAGACCGTGGAGTAGACCTGATTTCGGAAGTCGTCAATGGATGGGCACTGAGTGTTATTGCTCAGGCTGTGGTTAACCAGCATGTTGCACCTGGACAGAGAAACCCTGGGGCAAGAAAGGGAGAAAGGAAGAGTGAGTGCCTCGCAGAGTTCATGCAGATGCCAGGGGGTTACTTCACAAATCCTACAATCTCTTTTACCGCTGCAGTAAAAGATGATATAGTGTGGTTGTGCTCGTTTCCCCAATTCATAAATAGGGCTTACTGGCAACCCGTCTGTGTTATCTGCACTACTATTCTCCACCATGATCATGATAAATAGCAGTACTGCCACTTCTCTTTTATTTGTGTCCATCTTTTTTAACAACTTCTTGTAATTCCCATAACTTCTAATAACTTGTAATCCCCATGGAGAAGCCTGAGCCCATCCCGGCAAGCAACAGGCGCAAGGCAGCTTGGGACATATCACAGTCTAAACTGCTGGAAGCTCTCCTTCCACCTTCTCAAGACTGATGGACTGATGTGTGGCAGTTTGCTTTCTCAGTGTTAATTTAGTATATACAGTATTGCTGTGCTTTGGGGGTGACGCAAATGTTTGAAGTTCTCAAGAAATGGGCCTTAAGTGTTTACACAGCTTTGCTTGGTCCTTGAGGCAGTAACCATGACCCAGTAGTGGTATTATTTGTTAACTCTGTTAACTCTAACTCTTAGGACACCAATATTTAATAGTGACGGGATCATTCTGAGTAAGCCAGCCCTCAGAAGAACGGGAAATGGGAGCAGGCATCAGGTCAGGATAAACAGAATACATCACAAGAAGAAAATGGAAAATGGATCTCCGATTAAAGAGATTGTCTCAAAGGAAAGATGAAAGGAGACTAGTGGAGAAATGACTGGCCCGGGAGATTGACATCTCCTTCATACAAATTAGGAAATCACAATCTATTCAAGTAAGAGGCACAGAAGTCTCAATAAAGGACTTGAGGTCTCCTATAGAAGGAAGTCTTATCCTGGAACCCACAAGCAATCAGACATCTCCAATGGGTTCGTTTTCACTTCACAGCAATGAGTTTCCATTCATTTCGCACCTGTTTAAGATTTAAGTCCTGAGCAGGATCTATGTTTTTAATTGGATGTAAGTTTTCTCCATACCCTTTTAAGATGTTTTGTATCTCAATTTCAGGTAGAAATCTTTATTTTCTATGTCTGTTGTAAGGCAGGGCTCTGGTACTCAGATTTGTAATAATCTATATATACTAAGGCAAATATTAGTTTTGTAAATTAGTGTAACTTACTGTAATAGATATTTGTCTGTCTTATTTAAATTACTGCCTGGTTATTACTTCATTAACAAGCTATGGTGGAAAAGCCAATTAGACCCCTGTCCTGTATGGCTCAGTATTAGTATTGACTATAGGGGTTGTCATTATTGTTAATATTTAGAATTTGCTTGCATAGCAAGCTGGTGTCGGGACACAATTTCAACATTGATCTTCTTATTTTGTAATTATGGCCCCCTACCCATTACATCATAGTGCAAATTTTCATTTCTGACCATAAGGCAAGTACAAATCAGCCTTGAAGGAGATGGCCAGGGTTGTTGTCTGGAGAAAAGGATGCTAGCCAGCAATGTTAAACTACAAGCATAGGAAACACAAGGTCCTTCAGCCTTCAGTGCGACAGATGAAACATCTTGAAATGTTCGGTCAGGAGTTGAACATATACAGAACTAATACAGAGCCTTGCTGTTCCCATGCTTGCAGAGTTGGCCCCCATTTCCCAGCTGCTGGAGCATCTCCGAGATCAGTGGGATTACATTCTGGGGCAGACCTCTTGTCAGAGCGGACAGATTTTGTCACCACAGTTTATCCAATATTAGCCTGGCTCTGTCTTGCTCAATATTACCATAGCTTTTAATTTTGTCTATAATTCTAACTTGGAGATTAATTTGAATAACGGCCTGTTTAACTTTGTTTCACCTTCCCTAGCAAGTCCCAAGTGATTACATTTTTTCAAAACCACACGTCTTACTTACAGGCATCTATTTCCTTCCTGTTTATTACTGAGTTTTCACTGTAGTTTCTCTCAGTAGGACTGGGGGGTCCCTGGTGGTTTGTGACAGAAGAGTGTCCTGCTACAGATTGCCAGTTTTCAGGCTAAATAGTGCCAAAAGTTAATTGTATTGCACTTAAAAGGGCTCTAGTGACCTGTGGGATCTCACACTAGGATGGCTTTTGCATTCACAGGTATAGTAAACCACTTTGCTCCAGCTCACAGCATTGGGAATATTTAGGCCTGCACAGCTGTTACTAGAGCTCAAGAAGTACAAACTGAGACCCGTTTACTTATGGAAGCATTGTTTTGTGTTTCTCTTTCAAGTGCATATAAAGGTCCTACTGCAGCATCTGTTTTCCTGTTCAAGGAACACGTGGTGTGCGACTGAGTTTATTAATTAACCTCTCTCATGACGGAAAAGGAATTCTGTTCCATAAGTTTACGTACTGCGTGACCTTGAACTGAAGCAAAGCCAAAAATCACGTTTGCAGAAATTTCGCACGTACAGTACCACAACTGAGATGGCAGATTTACCATACATCTGACTCTTTACTTATGTATTGGTTTAATCCTCTAGAAAATAAAGCCCTGGAGAAAACTTGTGCACTGCATGGTCTGCTACTATCAGATAACTCTGACCTGTAGAAACAACCAATGCCTCCCATCTTCCCTCTTTCACAGACTATCTCCAAATGAAGACTGTTCCGATCACACTTCAGTGGAACCCTTAAAGCAGAAGGAAACTGAATGATCTATCTGCTGCACAGGCACACTTCCTATCTTGAGGTTAACCTTCAAAAGCCTTCGTTCAGGCTGCCATCTGAGCGCGCTAGCCTGTGCACTGAACCGGCAATGGACTCTGTCTGCTCCTGGTGTCAGCACCTGCCCAAGAAACCTGTGGTTTGTGGTATGACTGCTGCCAGAGATTCATTCTTCATCATATATCTGTGTGCATTTGGTACTGTTATATAGCATAAAGCTAACTCTAATCCTGTCTGCCAAGATGCACTCAGATTCACCTGGGCATGCACTGTAACTGTACTACACGCCACTTAGCAGTGTTTTTAATCTGCATGCCACAAAATTAAAAATAAACACAACTCTTTTCAGGCAGTGTTTGAACTGCTGCTGAAGTCAGGATTTCAAGCATTTGTGTACACAAGTACTATATTAACACGGGGTGGGGGGGGGGATTCTACAAATAGGCTTAAATATAATTACACATTTTAATCTGGTTTATTTTGGAGCACACTTGAAATTTTATGAAGGATTACAACAAGGTCAAAAGCTTCCTTCAGCATTAACCAGCTTCTCCTTGTTTTCTTTACAGCTACAAAAAAATACATTTAAGGGGACAGAATTACATAGAAAAACTATAATTGAACATACCTTTTATTCCGTGAAAAGGTCGGAAACTAAATTAAATAAATAAATTAAGCCATGCATCAGTCCTCTAATCATTACTGACAGTCAAAATTGCGGTTTTAAAGAAGGGGAATTTTGAGATTGGCCTTTCCCCACAACCTACGTGTCTGACTCACAGACTCTTCTTCTTAGTTCAGATCAAGGATATGTTTTGCTCTCACACAGCTACCACAAATACGTGCTGACCTGGGGAGACCGATCCTGTATCAATTAAGATACAGATCCTTTATGTAAAGAATGCAGACAGATCAGACAGATAAAGTAGGTAGCACACCTCTTGTTTGACTCGGACAGCACCAAGTTCTTGTTTAGCTGACTAGAAAGAGGGTGTGACATTCCTAGACAGCTGGCCCTCAGAATGAGAGTTCTGTGCTGGTGTTTAAAAATGCTGCTATTCCGTGCGTGCCCTTTCACATTCTGTGTTTAAACACGCGCTGTGTCCTTGTGCTGAAAGTGACATCTCAGGTAACAGAAGGGGTTGGCCGGGGCTGCGCTTGGATTGTAAACGGGCCCTGAACATGATTCCATGGCAGAGCAGAGTAGCTCTGAAGAACACTGCGCCTGCTGTGTTCTTCAGATGGCCGCCTGTGAATAAACTTCCTGCAGGGCTGCACTGAACTGTGCCGTGTTGCATGAACAACCAAACGTACTTCTTCAGTTTACTGTGTGCTGATACAAGACCAGCTGAATTACTTTCGGCATTTACTGGTACTTTTCTACTAGTGATCCTGGCTCTACATGAATTAAAATATATTTTATACGTAAAGGGGTACATTTTAACCCCTTCTGTTAGCATTGATTATTGGATGCGTTAGCTCTTTTTTTGGGATCAATACATTAAAGGATAGTATTGTATCCTTTGTGTATAATTTGGCACACAAACAAGTAAAGGATTTAAGCATCACCCCAGACTCACATGCTATTGAGATGGAGGTACCCAATCGTGAGTCGTCAACCGTTTCAGACCTGTTTCTCTGGAAGCGACCCCCGTAAGTGCTCAGGAGAGAAGGAGACGCGCAGACACGGCCACAGGTCACACAACAGGCCGCAGGTCCCACAGTGCCCAGCAGGAACGCTGTTTCAGACTGGAGGATCAACGCCTCTCTCACCAGTCACAGGAGTCACGGTCTGGGCTAGGCCTACCCTGGAGGCCCCCTGCCAGCCCTGGTGACGGTCTAGCAGCTCAGTGGAATAGCGGCCATCATGGGCTCCATCACCACACAGCTTTGTTGGTGATTCTTCCGAAAGCACACTGTAGGTGCACAACGAGGACAATAATCTGGGGCTGAGCAGGCGATCTCCTCTCCGTCCAGGCTTCACGATATCACAGGTCTGCTGCCCAAAGCTAAATAAGGCCAGACCGGACTGTTTCACTTTATTAACCATTTGGCTGAGAACAGACATATCCAGGGACAGGAAACAGGGACACAGCTGTTTGACTGGTGTGAAGTGGGGTGTAACCCTATAAAGAGGAAGTGCTCTTTCATTTCCTTCATTTTGCAATACAAATAAATATAGATCATTAAAAAAAGCAAAGCCGTTCAATTCATCAGCCACTGCAACGTCTCCTTGAAACTCGTACATTCCTTGAAACAGGAATTAAATATCTAATCATTTCTAGATTTAT